AGTCAAGAAAAACATAAGAAATATTGAGAAAATTAGAATTATTAATCTTACCTTTTCGGTCATATTCAACAACATATACATACAATAATAATATTAATATATTCACTTATTATTATTATTTATTATTAAATAACCTAATCCACACAGGAAAATATAAGAGACAGAGGTTCTTGAACCCTTATGAAGTATAAACTAATAAAAGTCCAGGACGGACCAAAACGTTGCATATTTCCCAACAACGTTATTATATCTTATCCTCTGTAACAATTGTAATTCCATGAAACTAGTAATAACAGTTGAAACCCTCTTACTTATTACGAAAACACCAACAACAATATTCAAATAATTAGGTTAAAAATACATGTTCCTTCCCTTCATGTCATATTTTATCGTTATTTATCAACATGTCGCTAAAATTAGTCTCACTCTGCTTCATGACAGAAATTCTCGGTAACTACATATTTTTGGCTATTTCTCCCGTAGTTTATTTCTCAATAAAACGTAAGTGCGTTCATATTGTCTCAGTTATAAGTGACGGTAATAAACTCGTACGATAAAGTCTTCCCTGGTTGTTTGTGTGGTTTGTGTGGTGTGTGTGTGTGTGTGTGTGTGTGTGTGTGTGTGTGTGTGTGTGTGTAATATGTTGGTGAGGTACATGTAGCAAGAGCTTTTAGAATGCTCGAAGATTTTACTTGTTTTGAACTATTTCTCTCCTATCATTAGCAAAAACCATTCCACCCTCCCTCCCATCCCACACGATGTCTGTTCCATTTAAAACACTACTACCACTCCCCCTTCCAGACGCTGTCGCTTTCAACAATAACACAACTTCTATCCACGCTTCTACTCGCTATCCCCAGTCCTTATCATCACTTCCCTAACCTATCCCTCGCTTCCCTATAATACCAACACCACTTCCTAAACAATCTCTTTCACTAACCACATCCTTTCTCTCTCCTCCCCTACACTATCCCCCACTTCTATCCCCCTACCCCACGTAGCTCTATCAACCCCTACCCCATCCATCACTCATCCTCTGCTGAGAGCAGAAACTCTCACTGTGTACTTAGTCAAGTTCAAAGTTGAGATAAAGATAGATGGGATGGGGGAAAGGATAAGAACGCAGAAAGTTAGTATACATAAGTTAGAATAATGAAGGTGTGAGATACTTTCTGCTAGATATATAATGGGACCAAACAAGGCAAGATGGACCATATCAACCAAACGTGAAAACTGGTTCAGTTTCGTGGAAACTGAATTAGTTTTGGAAAACTGGAAAACAGTTTCATCCCTGGTACAAGGAGAATGCAGTTTCATTCCTGGTACAAGAGGAAGGCAGTTTCATTCCTGGTACAAGGAAAATGCAGTTTCATCCCTGGAACAAGGAGAAGGCAGTTTCATCCTTGGAACAAGGAGAAGGCAGTTTCATTCCTGGTACAAGGAGAAGGCAGTTTCATTCCTGGTACAAGGAGAAGGCAGTTTCATCCCTGGTACAAGGAGAATACAGCTTCAACCCTGAGGTAACGAGAAGACAATGAAAATACGAATATAAAAGTTGTTTGAACTATTTGGGAGATTTACAGAAAGAAAAGAATTGGAAAATATAATCACGACATTTACATGAAATGAGAAAATCTATGAGCGTTCTTTCTAAAGGTTGAGAAAAAGTAACTATTTCAACAGAGTAAGAAACTCTGTCTAAACTGAGACCTGGAGGAAAGTTCAATGTAGTCGAATAGAATATTGAATTATCAAATGAAAATTTTTGGTAGCAGGAAATCAATCAACCTCATTCCGATATTAAAAAAAATTGGATAGAAATGACTTGACCATAGGCAGATGTTCCTAATATGTATATTATGAAAGCTTAAGGGAAAAAAACATGAATAATATGTATAGTGATTACAAAAAAAAAATTTAATAATAAAACACTAGATCAGGTCAACGAGGGCATATCCTAGCTCACTAATCTTTATTTAAATTCAAGAGTATCCTTTGTTATCTTTCCTTTGGTATCGTACCGATATCTTATAGGATAACATAAGAAGAACGATCTGTATATTGTTATTGCAACGGAAAACTAATGACAAAGTAGTGAAAGAGTATTATATAAATTAGAAAATAAGTCTCTGCAACGTGGAAAGTACATCAGTAAGTAGAGGTGTACCATTTAGTTTACGTAAAAACCACCTGCCAGTTGTAAACTTTCTGCACAAATGTAAAAGTAATTTAAAACCAACAAAAGTGATACATGATGCATCACGCCAGTCGATTAACGTCTTGGGGAGAGAAACAGTGACATAAAAATCATTCAACGCACATGTTAATGTGAATCAGCGGTCATACATTCAAATGCACATATACACAGATATACACAAACATTCGTATAAATACTTTACGGACTATTCATGCCCGTGCCACCTCTTGGGTGGCTTAATCTTCATCAATCAATCGGTTAAATACACAGAACATGTGTCAGGCTGACTTAAGTTTGTCTAGCTTTTAGTAACTTGGTTTAAATAGTCTTTTGAACGCAATACACGACATGTGTTCGTCCCACTCATGACTATGTAGTCCAGGTTCGGAACCCCAACCTAATCAATGGTTCTGAAATATAAGGAAGGTAGATGACAGACCATTCGGCCTGAGCTGTAAGAAATACTGAGAGACCTGGGTTTCACAGGAACAGGAAAGACATGATAGTGACGTTCAAGATACTACAGGGAATTGCCGAAGAAATCTAAGCAATGCTCTTATTGAGGAACAGCAGAACGAGGAGAGATATGGAGAACGGAGAACAAATTAGTCACAGTTATGCCAAAATGAACTTTTTATGCGTTATATCCGGAAATAGAGTAGATGTAATAGATAATGTGAAGACGTTTTTCAAACTTAATTAAATGGCCAATTTTATATGTAACTATTATGTCAAAATATCGAATAGAGGTATTGCAATAAACTACTGATGCTCCAAGAGATTTGCTGGACATTGAACATCTGAGCTTTGACCCTTTGAAGACATCTAGACGAGTACAACTAAACACACACACACACACACGAACACACACACACACACACACACGCACACACACACACACGCACACACACACACACACGCACACACACACACACACACGCACACACACGCACTCAGTTTCCAAGCAAACAACTATAAATGAAAATTCAATTAATTTTCTTGGCGTCAGGAAATTAAAGAAGATATGGCCATCAGTTCCTATTAGAATTAGCTGGGAGAAAATAGGATTGGACAAGGAAATCGTTAAGAAACACAACAAACCAAGAAAATAGAAGAAAGGAAGTAAAACAATTAGGGAAACGTCACAATAAAAATGTTGCACAGGAAGCTGGACGCAACACAAAACAAGAAGTAACAAATAAAGCAAGAGTAACACAAAACGCAGGAAGTAACACAGGAAGTAAGACGTAACACAGGAAGCAGTAAGTAACGCAGGAAGTAAGACGTAACACAGGAAGCAGTAAGTAACGCGGGAATTAGGACGTAACACAAAACGCAGGAAGTAACACAGGAAGTAAGACGTAACACAGGAAGCAGTAAGTAACGCAGGAATTAGGACGTAACACAGGAAGCAGTAAGTAACGCAGGAAGTAAGACGTAACACAGGAAGCAGTAAGTAACGCAGGAATTAGGACGTAACACAGGAAGCAGTAAGTAACGCAGGAATTAGGACGCAACACAGAAAGCAGGAAGTAACGCAGGAAGTAGAAAGAAACACTAAGAAAGACATAAGACAGAAAGAAGGAAGTATCACGTCAAAGAAAGTTATGAATAGCAAACTTACATGAGTAGGAGTGTATTCATTGGTCAAATGCTCGTTAATAACACCATTCTAATCATCAATGTTAACATACTATGTGTTAACAATGTTAATATATTGTATGTTAACATCACAATCGACTTGAGAATGGTCCAGGACGGACCGAAACGTCGTCGTCCCTTCACCTTCTTACGTGTGGTCTGGTCAACATACTCTGTATTCAAAATTGGTTTGTTCTCATATTTAAATTAATATTAATATGCATACAAATTCTATGTATAGTTAGACGTAGGTTAGGTTAGGTTAGGTTAGGTTAGGTTAGGTTAGGTTAGGCGTTTAGGTTCTGTTGGCGATTATTTGTAATTGTAGTACGTGGGTGAAGCATTTACAGCGTTGTGGTTCGAACAAAATTCGTCAGTGAAGAATTTGTTATGGAAGTGTTCGGACGTCAACAGTTGTGAGTCGTGTGTAAGCAGTTTTTCATTCATAAACAGAGGGTTTGGCGGGTGCATGGAATCACTTTTGGGTCTTTGTTTAGAGGACGGGCTGCGTCCTCGAATACAAAAATCAAAATTTGCTAATTGAGCCGCCAGACCCCTTGTTAATGAATGAAAATCGGTTTAAACACGACTTACAACTGATAAAGTCCGAACACTTCCGGAACAAGTACTTCGTTCACGTCCCCTGTTCGAACCACAATTCTTTAAATGCTTCACCCACGTACTTCAAATACAAACAATCACCAACAGAACCTAAACACCTAACCTAACCAACGCCTAACTATACAAGGAATTTTTATGTTAAATAATATTAATTTATATATATGAGAACAAACCACTTTTTAACACACTTTATGTTAAAATGTTTGAATGCGTCTGGAGAGGACGGCCGCTGCTTTAAACAGCCGAGTGTGAAGACGGGTTGCATGTACAAAGCGATAATTATTGACAAATAAGAGGTCAGGTGGCCGGATTAAGTAGCACAAGTCACTGTTTACGAGTCGCCATCTAGATGTAGCTACATGACTGACACAGCGCCCTGGCGACACAGCACCTAGGTAACGCCTCAGGTAGCTCAATATAGCAGGTGGCGCAGCTCGGAGTGAGGGGTGGAAAATATAGGTGGAGGGTGTAGGAGGGGGAAGTGCGTTGTGGGTTGTGGGTGGAGGGGAGAGGTTGTGTAGTGTGGACCGCGCGGGGCATAGATGTTGAGCAGCGGTCCAGCGCCACCACAGTCAGTCGAGTCACAGTACCTGGCGCAGGAGGACGTTTCACAGCCCTCTCCCGTGATCCGAGTCTGTGACAATTCCTGGACTATCTATCGCGCGGGAGTCTTTATATCTGTGATCGAGAGTGGAAGGCTAGCGAACAGGTGCAGATAGTGTGGGGGTGAGGAAGGAGTCCCACGATGGCTCCTGCTACAATACTGATGGCAGGGCGAGGTAAACTTGCTCTACTCCTGATCGTCTCTGGCTTTGGTCTCGGTGAGTACTGAAGGAAACTTTGAAATAGTGTTTATGATTGATCTGAAATAATATTTAACAAATCAGGTGAGTTATTTATAGAGAGGGACTATTTTAAAATCGTTTGAAACGAAAGTATTTAGAGAAAAAGATTCTTTACAAATTTACTGTTTAGGGATTTAAACCTTGTTCAGTGTCTCTGAGACAATGAATGGGACAGCGATTAGATCATTAATGCAGTGGAGGTTTTGCCAGCAGTCCACGCGAATATTAGAGACTGTAGAGAAGGTATACTCAGAGGGATATATATATAATATATATATAATATAATACAGCAGACTAGTTTAAGCCTGGGCTGTGTTCAAGGCTTAGAGTATATCTGCTAGTTGGTCCGTAAGCTAGTATGGTGGCGCTAACAACCCGCAGAGGATAATAGTCCTTAAACCCAACAACAAACCGAACTATTAATAGCCATCCCAAGGTAGGTAGCGGCCGTGACTATTAGATAATACCCTGAAGGAGGCATACCCAACTGGAGATAATTGTATTGCAATATATTTAGTAGAAATTTATATATTATACGCACCATGTTTACCCTCGACGGCAGCTATAATTACTGGTAAGTACTGTACAACGTGTGGTTGATGCGCTGCTTCAATTATTCTTCATTTAACTTGTTAAATTTGTTCATAATTTTTATGAACATTTTTCTTCATAAATTTTATTAATACATTGGCGGCACAGGTCGATAGTTAATTTTGTTTTTATGGTTTTGTATATTTTATTGACGGCTAAGCTTCCACGATATCTTTGTCTCAAACTATTATAATTCTCTAAGGGTGGATAGAGTATTTCTGTGAATTCTGGGAGTTCATGGTGTTTTTTAATTGTAAATCGTATGTGTTTGGTCGAATTTATCATTTAATTTGAATTTAATTTATGTTAAATTCACAGTTCAATGAGTTGCTTGTACATATATTCCATTTACCGTTGTTTTCCTTGGGGAGAGAACCATTTACAGCGTTGTGGTTCGAAAAAAAAGTCGTCAGCGAATCACTTGTTCAGGAAGTTTTCGGACGTCATCAGTTGTGAGTAGCGTGTAAACAGGTTTTAATTCATAAACATGGGGACCAGATCACACACACTAGAAGGTGAAGGGACGACGACGTTTCGTCGACACAATCGACTTGAGAATGGTCCAGGACGGACCGAAACGTCGTCGTCTCTTCACCTTCTAGTGTGTGGTCTGGTCAACATACTTTAGCCACGTTATTGTGACTCATCGCCTGCTCATAAACATGGGGGTTTTGGTGGGTGCATGGAATGGACTATGGCCTTTGTTTATGGTGACAGGCTGGTAACCTATATGAACTCGGTTTATAGTTTTCGAATATCTGTGCCAAAAACAGTCGCTGAGTGCTGTTGGGAATTGGGTTAAGGGTCAGATGACTTCAAATTCTTTTACCAGTCGTTGTGGCCTAGTGGTGAAAGTACTGGGCACGCCAAGGGGGCATGGAGCACCTGACTGTCTGCGTTCGAATCCTTCAGGGGTGAGGAATTTTCTGTTTATGTATAATATATTATATATTGGTATTGCATGTGGTTGTACATGGAAGTTTGGATGTCTTTGTAAACACCTGTGTGTGTGTGTGTGTGTGTGTGTGTGTGTGTGTGTGTGTGTGTGTGTGTGTGTTTAACAAACACACTCTAAGTAACCTCAGTGTGTGGAGTGTTTGGTTCTGCCGGGTCTAAAGAATGGAAGGGGGGGGGGGGAAGGGCACCCCGGGCCTAGGTTCAAGTCTACCAGGAATATAAATTGGATTCAATTAGCCTCTGGATCAATGATCACAAGTTTTATTTAAAAGCAGGCTAACGGGTGTTTGGTCTTGCATTAAAATGACCTAAAACTCTTTGTAATAATGTGTTTTTTGTTTTCCTAAAATGTTAATCTGTTTTTTTGTGGGTGAAATTGGCCTGGCTAATTATGTCCCTGGTCCTGTTGTTAGCCTTACGTAGACGTGATGTGTTTGGGCTCATTTTCAGTATTTTCTGTGAGGTTGCGAATGAAGGCTGACACACACAAATGAAGGGTCATTTACCTGTACCTGTCCTACCTGAAGGGTACCTGAAGGGTACCTGTCTCTCTTGAATTAAACCAGTCTCTCTCTGCATCTAACAGTCAACTTATATATCTCGATCAGTGTGCCTAATAATCAGCCCGTCTGTATGCTGTTCTGTTTTTTTCTGCTTGTTACGGTCTAAACACATGAACCCGTAACAGGAGGCCCTTGTTGTTGCGACTCGATCTCGTGTTTAATGGTCCTCCCATGAATACAATTTCTGACATTTACAACCACGATTATCATTAGAAAAGATGAGAAATGGGAGGTGGGGGGGGGGGGGGAAGGTAGTTAAGAAAAGTGGAGATGAAGAGAAAAAGATTGGGGAAATAGAAGGGGAAATGAAAAGGGTGGGGAGGGTGGGATGGGGATTAAGCTTTCTGGGGCCAGATTCACGAAAGGACTTACGCAAGCACATACGAACCTGTACATCTTTTCTCAATCTTTGGCGACTTTGTTTCCAATTATTAAACAGTTAATGAGTTCCGAAGCACCAGGAGGCTGTTTATAACAATAACAACAGTTGATTGGCAAGTTTTCATTCTTGTAAACTGTTTAATAAATGTAATCAAAGCCGTCAAAGATTGAGGAAAGATGTACGTGTTTGTAAGAACTTGCGTAAGTGCTTTCGTGAATCCGGCCCCTGGCTACAGCCTGAGGTAATAGAAAAGCCGATGGAGTTCAGACTACATAACTTCTAGTAGTCATAAGTACGAACATCTAAGATGCCGGGTGATATTAGGCTGATGGGTACAATAATCTATGAAAACTATTTAGATTATAGACACGATCAGTAGAAACAGTTTAGCGAGCGCAAGGCTCAAAGTTTACAAGGGTGAGTTTGAAGGGACTGTTAGAAAAGATTTAGAAAATTGGAAAACTAGCAAGTGCTCAACAAGTCTCGCTCGGAAATGGCTTAAAAACTAAATGAGTTCTGGGCAAGATAAAAACGACAGAGTAGTAAACTAGAAATAATTAAAAAGTTAAGAACTAGGGAGCAGATTGGCCATTAGCGAGGAAGGCAAATTATTTGTGAAATAATAGAAATAAATAGCTATGCCTTGGGCACCAATAAATGCTACAGAAATGGGAAATAATAGGTTGGCCCATGGAAGTAGGTGGAATATATGGTGCTTGTTAGAAAGAGAAAGGAAGGTTTGAAGGTCGTTACGGGAATTGAAAAGGAAAATTCAACATAAAAGAGGCTAGTGGGTCTAATAGAGAAGGATAGATACCCCCAAAAAAGAGGATATTATGCCACTAAAAAGAATGGAATAATGCAGGAGAGCAGAAAATTAGAAAAGAAAATAAGGAGAAAAAGGTTGGGAGACAAATGTAATAAGAATATGAATAGTAATTTGAACAGAATATTAGTTTAAGATGAAAGTAATATATGTGAAATATGAGTTTTTATCTACAGTTATAGAAAACAATTATTAGGGGTAATGTTAGGGATATATAAAGTTGACACCTGTATTGTTGACGTCAAGTGACAGCACATCGCAACACAATTTACAGAGACAAACATTTTATGCAGAGTTGAACACAGTCCAAACATTTTTTGTCACCTGGGCCATGAGGGAGGAATGATACGAGAAGGGGGAGAGGAAAAAGATAGAAGGATAGGAGAAAAAGAAAGAAAAATATGAGAACAGCAGTGGATAGTAAGAGAAACAAAGGCATAAAAAAGTAAAAAATATTGAGATAATGCAGTAAAAAGTGTGTGAAAAGTGGGGAAAGAAAAAACAAATCGTATATTTAGAATGAAAGAGTGTGTGAGAGAGAGAGAGAGAGAGAGAGAGAGAGAGAGAGAGAGAGGGGGAAAAGCCTGTAGCTAGGGTGTGGAAGAGAGAACGTTAACCGAGAGAAGACAGCTAACTTGTTTGTATCCAATTCAGGTTATGAAAAAGAGAGAGAGAGAGAGAGAGAATGAAAACTCTGCTCCTCTTTCAGGTATAGAATTCTTGCCTAATTCGTCCCGAAAACCGTTTTTCATGGAGATGTGGGAGGAGTAGAACCCAGCAGCGTTCGGCCATTGGGACGTGATGTTTACGGTATCTGGGACGAGCTAGTTATGTGAAACACTGGAAGTTCTTGTTGTAAAAAAGGAAAAAGGGATAAACGTGTCAGGGGGAAATATTGATAGTGAAAGAGGGAGAGAGAGAGAGACCGAGATGGGAGGGGTGGGAAGGGGGGGAGGGGTATGACAGATTGGCCAAAAAAGCTGCTTTTATTTCAAGTTTATGTTGTCATATCCCTATAGAGCTGTGTCCACAAGAGCCATTACCGTGAGGACTTTGTTTATGTATCAATGAATTCATTTTTGCACAGCTGTTAGTCGGCTCAGTCCATAACATAAGTTAATAATTGTCAAACTGATGTTAAAAAGTAAAATAAAAGTATAACTTCTTCTCGTTACTACTTTTGGTGGTAATTGATGTTGCTCATTTTCTCTCATATGTAACATCAGGATAGATTTATTTACGGCATTATTTTTGAGAATGTTTATATACAACATGTTTAGGTGTTGGTGGGATATAAACTACATTATATTCTGAATATTTATTTTTTCTGTTTTATTGTTGTGAGGACACCCACCCACACACACGTTTATATATATGTATATATATATATTATACAAACATATACACATACACACAGCTGAAGATATTTGCAATAAGTAGCTCAATATACTTTTGACCCTCCAATATATTGCCTTCTATTAAACCTTGGACCGTTCATGGACATTTTATGAACATAAAACACCAATATTAATTAAGAACTAATCGCACCCTTGGACAAAAATTTACCGAACAGATTATCATAAAGAGGCAGAATGACAAAGCTGGAAGTGAAGTTTCGCTACGAATTAAGAAATAACGAGAGATTTACCACATTTCG